CCTCTAGTAATATATTTACTGAGAAAAATGGTGACGTGTTCAATACTCATTTTACCCGCTGTATATATACACACATACAAATATATATATGTATATTACAAAAAATATTTTATCATGAAGTGTCTCAACAATAATCTGCTCATTAGAGGACATAATAAAAGACGAGGTGACAACACACAATTTTTGAAATACAATAATTTATTAAAGCGTTTTTTWAAATTCTGATATAAAACATTTTCTGATTATTTTCTTCTTCAGAACAGTCAGAAGTCTCAGAAATACAGTCATCATTGATGGAAAGTCTCTGGTTTGGCCGCCGGCAGCTGACCAGAGCTGCTGAGTGCGAACGAGATGGAAGACAGAAATCTAACGTGAGGTAAGTACTAAGCTTGTTACACTGAGATTAAATTATTTTAATCAGGAACTATACAGGTCGGCCTAATAACAGGGAAATAGTAAATGTGTGAAAACACTTCAGTCCAACCTTGAATCAAGTGATATCTCRTGGTCTTGAAAGCACAAAAAGGTGAAAATGTAACAAAACTGCATCGACTCAATTCATCTTATTCTCTCAAATCCATTGAGWTYTTTTAWAAATAAATACCCCACCCTCTATGGMTGCTGAYGTCACTCAAAGCTAAAACAAACACACACAAACTACAGACAAAATTTCAATTAAGTGTCATCATCTAGTTTAATTTTTACATCACATGCTCAAAATTTGGGGTATTTTATCGATATATTCAGCTCACTCTAGCTCTGGGTTAGAAGCACAAAAATTTACCATATAATAATACTTATTAGTCAAAGAGTTTACCTTTTTTAGCATTATTAGTAAAATTTATTATCAAACTTTGCTAACGAGAATGTTTTTTTCTTCCTTTTTCACTGGTGTCCTATTTTTTTAACATGCTGGCTAAAATGATCAAGTTGAAAGTATTCATTAGCCACGAAAATAAAATAATAAAACTAATACTTTTTTTTTTCATTTTGAAACCCTCAACAAAAACACACAATAATTTAGTGGAAGGACAAAGTAACTTTTGTGGAAAGTGAGTCATTCCAAAACATGAAAAGTGTAGAAACAATTACATTAATAAAATWAATGCATTCAGTTCCTTTGATTTGTCAAATTAATTGTTGGGTTAAAGCACATTTCAGTTTATCTACGTTAAAAAAAATGTAAAATGAATGACTTTTCTTCAAATATAGTTGCTAATAAAAGGTCTGGTAGTAGATCTTTTGGGTAAAAATTTTGTTAGATTTGCAGTTAAAATCTCATTTAGACCCACAAAAGCATGGACGTCCTGTCCTAAAAGGGTTGAAGCACTAAAAAGTGTAGCTGGCATTCGCTAAAACAGATTCAYAGAAGGCTTAAAGAGATGCAAATAAAAGTGTTGAATTGGATGGAAATTATGACCACTTCACATTCTTTTAACAAAGTCCAGTTTCCTTCTGTCAATGATCAAACCCAGCTTGTTATATTAAGTTTTATGAATGGTTACATAAAAGACTTCTTTTTGGTAAAAGTTGGTAAAGGTTTTGTGGTCGTTTTTACTATGAAACTGCAATAAAAATAAGAAATGTGGTTAAGTAAAAAGGAAAGAATTATGTACCAAATATTGCACGTTTTAAGATTATTTCATCCCATTTTGTGTTAAACTTAACAATTACAAAAATATTACAATTAAAATTTGTAAAAGGCGTCTGTCTGCATTTACTTCCCGGGGGGCAAAATTATATGATTCCTTAGTTGCAGTCACGGGCCGCACAAAATCACTCAGAGGGCCGCAGATAGCCTGTGGGCCACTCTTTGGACACCCCTGATTTAGATGCTTGAGATGTATTTTTTGTGACACATGTAAATAATAATTACACACAAGTGTATCTTCTGCTTCTGCAAGGCCACATCTGCTCTCCAAATAGCTTTAAGGCAAAAAGGGGAACTTTTTTTTGTTTTGTGTTTTTTTTTTTTTAACCCTGAGGGACTCTCCATTCAGGAGAACATTCATTACAAGGAGTCGCAATGTTTAACAGAAACAAACAAAAACATTAAAGGTGCTAATCAGTTAGTGTGCAGCACATTCAGAGATGGCGTTTGAGTTTACATTTGTGAGAATTTCTCTGTTTTTTGTTCTTTTTTTTGGTATTTGGGGTGTGAAAACATTTCAAGTCGCAACAAAAGTTTCTTCTGACTTTGAAAAATAATCCATTAAAAAAAACAGTTTTTTTTGTAAGAAATATGTGAAACGACCAGTGTAATCAACTAGAGCAGGGAAGACGGCGAAGAAAGAAGCAACATCCAGAAGGAAAACAACAAAAATCAGGCGGTTTTGGGTCTTTAGACAAAGCTTTCTTCCTGGATATAGTAGATTGTTCATGTTACTATGTGGCTCAAGTCAAAACCTCGGCCGAAGGACATTTTCATTCTTCCCGTCTCACTGCTCCACRCTTGTCTTTGTCCTTAATGTCCAAAAGAACAAACCGTGTCGTCTCCGATGCATCACCTGATCCAATTGGTTCCATAACTGGACACAGACTTGACGCTGCAGCGCTTCTTCACAATCATGTTTATGTAGGCTTTCATGATCTTTGTGATYTCTCCAACCTGCAAATATACAGACAAAAAAGAAAAAGAAAAAAAACATACCATATTTATTCATGTATAATATGATCTTGAGTATAATACGATCAACAATTTTTTAAATTAAAAAGCTTTTAAAAAATCTAATCATCATGTTATCATTTCAAACAGACTTCAGGATTTTTCAGTATTTGCGGTGTGCCCTCTGGTGGTGAAACATATTTGGGGAAACACACTTGTGTGGGCATGTTCTGCTGCAGAGAGCGAGCGGCGGAAGTTTCCGGTGTTACACCATATTTTGTGACCGTCATATATTGTGACTAGAGAGGGGCGCTGTTGCGTTGCTACTACAAAACTTGGCCAAACATGGCCACAAAGAAGAATATGATACGCCAAAAGTCAGAGGCTGAAGACATATGAAGAAAAAAACAAAAACTGTTGACTACATGGTCACAGAATATGACAGCTGTCATATATTGTGACTTCACTGTAGCTAAGGAAATAGTAAATAATTTTATTCAAAAACTATTTATACCAATTGTTTACATCTTCTAGTGTCAGAAAAATAACTTTTGATCACTGACATGGTGACTGTTATTAAATTAGTACAGGGTCACATAATATGGTTGCTATTATCATGTATAGTAGAAATAATAGTAGTAGTAATAGTAATAGTCAACATGCCAGTGATCAGAAGTTATTTTTCTGACATTAGAGGATGTATACAATGAGTAGAATCTGTTTATGAATAAATATTTTTACTATTTACCAAGCTACAGTGAAGTCACAATATTTGACAACAGTTGTCATATTTTGTGACCTCTGGGTTACACTTTTGGCGTATCATATTCTTCTTTGTGGCTATTTTCGGCCAAGTTCTGTTGTAGAAACGCAACAGCGACCCCTCTGGTTACAATATATGACGGTCACAAAATATGGTGTAACACCGGTTCCGTGTGTCACTGAAAAAACAATCCGCTCCCAGACCAGAGTAGAAGCTGGTTTGTAAATTATTAAGATGGATTTATCTGAACATGCAACTAAAAGACCAAGTATATTTTTCTATCGCTGCGGTTAACAAGAAAACAAGTTTTCTTCTCCTCTGACTTCTTCATTCAGTAAACAGCTACGGTTTACATGTTTCACTATGCACGACTTWCAACGGGAGGAAATATTGAAACTTATTRTGGTTGTACATTAAAAAAGGTCAGTCAAAATTTATTCCCGTGTATAATACTATTGGGGTTAAATTTCTTGTATTATACACAAATACAGTAATCCCAACTAACGCCCACAGAGATGTAGATAATCCTTGTACTATCTTAAGTCTACCTCTGGTGTCTCGAAGAACATTTCTCTCTCGTCCACGGTGATCTTGTAAGTGCACGGCTGTGGAGCGCCGAAGAAGATGATGTGCTCGTACGGGAAGGTCTCCAGAGGTTTGGGCTCTCCTCTTTTGTAGACGGACACATTCTCAGCACTCACACTCAACCACAGATCATGTGGGAACCCTCCTTCTTTACACTGTAAAGAATAAAACAGACTTGTATCACACAGGTAATAATAATAAAACTGGGTCTGAAAACCTCCTGGTTCAAGACTTAGGTGGCCGTACCTCAACGTCAAACAGAGTGGATCCATATCCGTGCCACTCCTTGATGATGGTCATGTATTTCAGCATGGCCTGGTGTTGATCCAAACTCTTGAGGCGGTTCCACTTCTCCACAACGCTCGCCCTGGTGGCAGACATCTCCTCCTTGATCCACATCTCCAGCATTTGCTCCTCCTCCAAGCGCTGCTTCTTCATGGAGCCCGTCTTCAGCCCCCGGCGCAACGTATTGTCCAGGAAGCTGGTCCTCCGCCGCTCCAGGGTCTGGCCCGAGCCCGAGCCGGACGCTCCGCCCGCTTTTGTAAACTGCAGGATTCGACTTCGCAGGCGTCCCACGGGGTAGACGCTCTCCAGGCTCCACGTGACCCGGGCTTTGTCTCCGAACAAGAACTGCAGGCGCAGAGCTGCGAGGTGTTGCAGGGTCTCCTCGCGGGCCGGAAAGTGACCCCGGGTCAAACTCTCGTGAGCCTAATGAGCAAGAACAACAACAAATGATTTGTGCACACTTTATAATTCATTAARTACTCCTAATAAAACTGAAGATGGGTTCTACAAACCTGCTCAAACATGAATGCAAACTCCACTCCTTCTTTAGGCATGCTTTCCACATCCAAGAAACAATAAAGTTTGAAATACAGCTTCCATTGGCCTTCGTCCCGAGCTTCCTCGCTGCCAGCCATTCTGTGTGGGAGGGAGGGTTATAAATCTGTAACTCACACATCTGATTTTCTCTAATTTTCTAACACTATCCTCGTGTCATTATCATCTTCAGAACAAGAATTTCTGTGTTCCTCAAAAGGTGGTTGATTCACACCCAAACTGAGATGTTAGAGTCAAAGTTTAATGATAAAGACAATAAATTATGTGGTTCAATCGTACCTTTCGAATTTGGCCAACACATCGGCCACGATGACTCGACTTTCCACGGCTTTGTCGACGGCACTCCTGTGCTCGAAGAGTGCAAACATGTTCCTGCTGTCCTCCATAGCCAGACCTCGGATCAGCTTCTCCACGACCTGACCATGATTACAAACAGGCAGGCACCGATGTGGCTTTTTCTTCTCAAACACAAAACCAAACAATGAGAAGAGTAGTCACTTCACATACGACAGTAGGTGGCTCACCTCTCCAGCAGTGGTGTGAGAGTTAATGGAGATCTTGCAGGAGCCTCCTCCATGGCAGTAGACTGTGGTGGTCATTTCCTGTCTGGTTAGGAGAGCCATGATCTCCTCTTGGGAAGGAACAAACTCTCTCGTCTTTGTCTTCTTAAGAGACTCCCCGATGAAATGGGCAAACATTTCAATTTCTGTTCCRGGGAACAGCTCCTTAATCCTGAGGGAAAAGAACAAAGAGGCAAGTTGAAACCATCTTCTTTCAACACCTGGTCTTTGTGTACAAACAGATCGGCACCTTTTCAGGTGAAACTTGAGGTAGCGCAGGATTCCTCGGCTGGGCAGGAAGGTGCAGCTCATGCAGGTCAGGAGATGCCAGTGGGCACGATTGGCGGGACTGTTGGGGTGCGGGACGTGGTTGGTTTGTTTGATGAGCTGACAGTAGACTTCGTCCCTTAACGGTCTCAAGTCTTGGCAGGTCTGCAGGATTCCCTGGATGATGGGCACGGGGTCTGACACGGCTTCCATCTCCTGCAGCGAGTTGAAAATCTTCACCGCCTCGTCCTGCAGGCTCGTATAGCCCTTTTCCTTTTGCACTGACAGAGATGGAGACGCAGTCAAAATTTAATCTATAAACTTATTTTCTGTTAAAAAACGTTCAATTACTGGCACATTTCTTTAGAAATTCAATCTACCAGATATTCTAACAGACCCAACTGCCCATTAAAAAGGAAGTACACAATTTGAAAAATGCAAACCTGGATTCCAAAAGCTGAAATGTAAAGAATCGCTCAACTTGAAGAGTTCATTGAATATGTTGCTCTAATCAACCTCAGGCTGCACTGCGTTTAAAAAAAAAATGAAAAGCACAAATTCCTAAAACCCTCTGAGAAAATATCTGAAAATAATTTCAGCATATACTATAAAATCTCTACCATGCTATCCAGTACCCTTAAATCAGAGGTGCCCAAAGTGGGGCCCGCAGGCCAAATTTGGCCCACCAAGCTATTTGATTTGGCCCACTAGCAGTTGTCCTGGTTATGATGGTAATCTACTGTTTTATGTAGAAATTCTATATTTACACTTAGTCTTTTCAGCCATTGGTCCAACTATAGGTACAAGGAGCTGCCATGCAGATAGTCTTAACTTCGGTTAGGTTCTCACTTTATCTTTGAATTATGTTAAGATCAAACATAAAATACAAGTAACTTCAAGAGACATTTATATTAGATCTAAGCACACATCTAGATTTGCACACCTTATAAGACCACATATACTCAAATTTTAAATTATGAAAAGTTTCATGAGCCTTTGCTGCCCAAGCAAACATTGAATTTTCTCCATGTCCATGGGATGGAAAAAAAACAACAAAAAAAAGTGGGCAGCTGCACTGGCTGCTAGCTTAATCATAAAAAATACAACTTTACTTGAAGTATTTGCATTTTGTGTATTATATTATTGCATTTGGCCCACCGCCCTCAGATTGATTTTAATCTTGGCCCTCACAGGGAAAATGTTTGGGCCCCCCTGCCTTAAATGAATGATTACATCACCAGCAGCAGTTTGTAAACAGTGACTGCGGGCCAAAGCACTCACARTGGACGCTGACATCTCCATAAGGCAGAGGTAGAAGGGGGGAGTGCAAAGGATGCTGGGTATATCGCAGGATGGGGTTCCTCCAATACGTCTGTTCCACAGCCTCCACGTTCAAACTGCTCTCCTGCACACAGAGGACTGGATTAGTGATCTCAGACCCTCCTTTCTTTAGAAATTTGTTTTTCTTCTTAAGGAAAAAGGAAAACGTAGTTCTCAGSAAATTTATTAAAAAAAAAACACAGAATTAAAGAAATTGCATTTTCTGCAAAAAAAGAAAAAAATTACTGCTGAAATTTGCTGAAAGAGCTGGAAGTGAGTTAATCAAGCAAAACATTAGCTAAAGGCTAAAAGTAGCAAAAGACTAGCTAGAAGTAGTAGAACAATAGCTAAATTGCTAAAAGTAACACAAGAGGACAAAAACAAAACAAGAACATTGTTTTTGAAAACACTAAGGAGATTTCAAAGTATTTTTTATGAGAAAAAACATTTTGTATTTTGTATGCAAAAGTAAAAAAGGTGACCAAAAACAGAAGTCATAGCACTGGTTAAAATAGAGCAAAGTATCCAAAACAAATAAGATGGCAAAACAGCGTACTGTATAACCCACATAATGTTGTCACTACAGTAAAAACCACATCAATGCCTGAAAGAACTGAGAAAGTTTTGGTGAATGAAGATCACAGCACACAGTGAGAGTACCTCACTTCACAACAGTGTGGGTCCCTGCCAAAGGTTTGCATGACTAAAAAGAATTTAGGTCACAATATGTCAAACATTTAGCACCAGTAATTATGAAACAAGCGCTGCACAAATGACYAACCTTAAAATGACACAAACAGCCATTAGACAACAACAAATCACAACAGGAGACAAAGTGAAGGCTCCATTACCTTGATGTCCCTGATGAGTTGCTGTGTTGGCGTTTCAATGGGAACTTTGCTGTCTATCACTCCCTGAATGGCGTTCGCCCACCGCATGGCTTCATTCAGCAGTTTAGTGTAAAGCCGGTAAGAGTGTTTACGCCCATATATGATTATATTCCAGTAACCTGTTAGAAAAGTAAAAAAAAATGTAATAAATGCCTGAGTGAAAATTAGGACGTGTCACACAACWTTAACAGGAACAGGCAGATCAGGGTGACTGAATGAACTGACCTGTGTCCTTAAAGGTTTTCTCGTCAGGCTGCACCACAGAGCAGAGGCTGTTGAGGACCAGGGTTCCCAGTTTAGTCGCGTTACGCTCCGATGACTTGTAGTAGTCGAGAGAGTTCGTGGTGAGAACAAACCAGCGCTTCTTCAGCTTCAGAGACGTGCTCTTAGCTCCTGATTTCATCTCTTTATGCAGCCAACCTGATGTTTAAAAAAACATCAAAGTACTGATTTCTGTTCAAACACGGWCTTCTTCTTCTTTTTATCAAAGCAGTTCACAATTGAGACGCACCTCTAACCAGGAACTCCTGCCCATCAACTCTGGTGTCTCCTTTTGACTTCTGCAGCAGGCCGATCCAGTGGTGCATCTCCTCAGGTGTGTCTGTATTACAGTGGATCACTCGGTTGGCTGTGATGATCACAAAAGAGTTTGGTCTAGAAAGAAAGGAAAACATCACAAATGTGATTTTTTTTCTCTTGATGGTTAAATCCATCCAACATTTAGAGAGTGGCTGGGTTTAGGAAGCTTTCCTCACCTGTCTGGGTTGTCCGACGCACAAACAGAATCGATCAAACCCGCATCTAATGTTCCCTAAATGCAAAACAACAGGTTTAAATTGAAATATCTGCCTTTTTAGACAGAAAATAATCACACAAATGGTCCACGCAGCTGTTTGATATTATTGTCTCTCTGTTATTATGCTTCTTACAGAAATAAAAGGCTGACACAGTCGAGAAGAGCTACATATTCAGATTCTTGAGGGATAATTATATAGATTACAATACAACCCCAAAAACTGGGTCGTCATATTTCAGCAGAATCGGTTACAAGTTTCTGTTTTTCTGGYGGAAACAAAAAAGCAGCAGAGAGGTAGAACCATACTAACCACAGCATTCTTTGGGTTGGCCTGTTCGTGGTGCATCTCCATGAGCTGCTCGGGGCTGGCGCTGTGGACCCGACTCAGCACATTGAACCAACCGCTGAACGGGTCAGAGGGAGTCGAGAAAGCACAAGTCAGCAAWYGTGTAATTGAAAATTACACGGTGAGCTTCCATTCGGCGACCACAAGGGGGAACTTCGGTCCCACACGTCACCTTTACAGCCGAGATGGTGAAGGAGGGAAAAAAAAACAGATATACCTGGCATCCTCAGGAGACTCTGCGTAGATGTGGTAGGTCCTGTCCTCGGTCACAATGTTCAGTGCGTTTTCCTTCTCGTGATTGTCCACGATCTCCCTGCMAACCAAAATCTCTTAATATCATATGCTGTTTATTTTTTCTTCTTCTCTTTTTAAAGGGGCAATATCATGTAAAATCAACTTTTTTGAGTTTTATATCATGTTATAATGTTATACTCTCAT